GGATGGATGTCTGTTCTTAATGTTGTTATGTTCAATTTAGACCATTTGTTTCATTTGTTTGCAAGGACCACAATGGAAACTACTGGTTCACCAGTAATTGTGTAATCCTACAAAAAGACTTTTTTTTTTTTTTTTGTTAGATCGGAAAAAATCATTACTCGCGAGAAGTATCGCTGCTTCCGTACATTCGATGCTGCACGTGACCTACCCATGCTTCGTCTCATGCTAAGTGACCAACCGCTGACAAGGAGGCGAAAAGATTCTGGGTAATACTAAACTGAATGACGTCGCAGTATGGGTATTGATATCAATACCGATATGGAAGAAAAAGGTAAGTATCGTACTCAGTATCTTGGCAAGTCTAGCAAGAGACTTACCACTAAACTCAATGACGTCACAGTATGGAAAAACAGTACTAGTCCATCCTAAGAAACTATCAAGACCTGGAATCTATTGAAATTTGAGCAGAAGCGAAAGTGGGTTAGCTGAAGTCAGAAAAGGAGTTCGGAGGATTGCTTTGACATAAGCAAATTTTAAGAAAATTATATAACACCCCTCCGTTTAAATTTTCTTTGGAGAGAAAAAATGCTACAGGCCTAAAAATTGATTGAAGGGGGATAAGTTTCAAAGAAACTGTGGTGCTGTTTCAGTGAAAGGCATTTTAAGTTAGAACTAGGCAGCCCTTATGAATTATGCTTGCACAATTTTTGCATGGTTTGGAAAAGCAAGCATAATTTTTGCTCCTATTATAAAAGCAGTATGACTAGCATAACCAGCCTTTTTTCCTTATTTCTTTTTATGGATAAATTACCAGAGTTTGTGCTCAAAATTTCAAAATTTCTCTTTAGGCTTTGCTTCTCGGCCAAATATTAATTTTTCTCTCAACCCCAGACATTATCAGTTGGAATACCAACTGCCTGATGGGATTACCTACTAAATAATTTGGTTTAGTCATTCTTCAAAGCAAATCTTAATGCAAATTAAGAACGCTTGAGAGGCCAGCTTTAGAAACTCTTTATGGAAGCCAATTCACTCTTCAACATACCAAATAAAACCAAATTATCTAGGTCAGGAGAATTTATATTCCCTTGTCAAGGCCTAGAAAAATAAGAGGAGAGAGAATTATTTCTAGGTTTATTTGGGATGAACACCACCAGTGATATTTTAAAATTCACCCAAACATTAGGAACCGCCACGCTGCGAGAGATATTTGGAGAGTTTTGAAATATCATGAGCCATTCTAACCATTATCCTCACCATTATCATCATCATCATCCTCCTCATCATTATCGTCAGTATCATCGTCACTGTCTTCATCATCATCATCATTGTCCCTGCAATCATCATCATCATCAGTATTGTCGTCATCAGAGTTCTCATCATCATCCACATCATTGTCACTGTGGTCTCCATCATCATTAGCACTACTCTGAATCACACCCTTGCCAGAAACTAATGAGTCAAGAAGAAAAATTCAATACAAAAATTAAAATGATAAGAGTCTGAATTAATTATCATATTGTAGTATAATTCTGGCCGAGGGTCGGTTAGCGTCGGGCTGTTTCGATGCTTAGGCAAACGTTGGGTTTAACGTGATCGAGCTTGCACACAGGGTGGAGGACACTCAACTGCTTTACAATCAACTGAATCTACTTTATTGCTTGAATCAAGGTTCTTATATACACAATGGTAGCTAAATCATACGCGATACAAAATACAGAATATAATACGAGTTTCCCTTAGAATAAACAACTTAATTACCACGTATCTGCAATTTCACAGATAAGGGAGGACATTTTCGTGGATCCTGCGGAACTAGTGTTCCTACGTGTTTTAGACGGAAAACACGTACAAGTTTCCATATTCCATGCGACACATACTAGGAATAGTACTAGCTAGTTTCACGGATACTCTAACAACAAAGGGTTACACATAAATCATATTTCCGGTTGTAATTATGTAATCAAAGCTTACTTTAGAATTGTTTGTCACGCTTTGTCACGCTATGCTTAACTTTACAACAATATTATTGACTTTGGACCAACTGATTCTTACCTGATATCTCAAATTTGTCAATATCATTATCAAACTAAGAGGTAAAGACATCAGTTGAACTACCGTTGATAGGTAGGTGGTTCATTGCAGTTTGATTGAATGGCACATCTCTATAGTGCATTGAGGATTTTTTGTCTTCCTTGAAGATCCACATCCTTTTAAGTGTTGCCTTTGCCTTTTGCTTCTAATTACAATTATGGAGATGGATGTTGTATTAAAACTGACATAACCTTGTGAACATTTTGAGGCAAGTTAATATAAAATCAGCCAGAATAACCCTTTTTTTGGCCACCTTGTTTGATGTAGACTCTAAGTAGCAACAGTGCTGGAGCAATTAGCACTCCTTCCTCTGTTTGATACAGACCTTGTACCTCAGAAAGTACTATGCAGTCCTGGAATCATGGCATAGACATCAGTAAACGTTTTTGGTGTGCTTTTATCCCTTGTCTACTATGTGTACATGCATCTAACTGGCAATCTTGGTTTAGTATAAAATGATCATGCAGACTGACTATAAACACATCCTCAAAGCAACATTTCAGTCGCTAATACTCAGGTTTGTCAGGTGTATATTTAAATCTTTTCAATGTCTAACAATTGTTGGTGTGTAACTTCAAAAGTGTCTGTTGTACTTTAGGGAGGGTTTGCTGGCCAAAAATCCAGCCAGCGATAACCACTCTTTCATTTGCCAGCATTTGGTGCTTAGTAACAACCCTGAGTGAAAATAACATTTCCTTTTGTGTGAGTTTGAAGAGTAATTCCCTTGCTTCGTAAAGTACACATAATGCAAAAACTCGCAAACTCGAAAACTCAAAAACGCAAACTTATTGTTTGTATTTTGATTTGCCCTACAGCCTCATCAAAATATGGCACAACTCTTAAAAATACTCTGTGACACTACACAAAATAATGTGTAATAAGATATATTTATCTTAAAGTTTACCTAGAAAATGTTGGAAAAGAAAAACAAAGAGATCATCAAGTTAGGGAGAAGAATGATCAACATGAACCCTTTTGGTGGGAAATAATACAAATATTATGATCTATCAGCATTTGTGTGTTACAAATGACAGTGCACTGCTAATAAAGTGCAAGTTAAATTCAAGACAGATATTAATTACAGGGTGTCAAGTGACAAATGACACTTTGAAAATAGGGAATGACAGCACTAAGGGCCAAAAAATAGGAAATAAATAGGAATTCTCAACCCAAAATTGGAAAAAAATAGGAGGATTTTTCTTAGTTCTATCCTTTTTTAACATTCTCAACAGCAACTCTAGATCTGTTCTACAACCCAATGCTTTAATATTTAACAGGAACAATGGCATACATCCACAATGCATCGCCATATAAATTACACAAAAACATGCATGCACATGAACCTCCTAGAATCCCTTGCATGCTATCAAAAGCATTGAGAAAGTCTGAGGACAAGTTTCAGAAGAAAATCACTCATAAGGGCTTCAAACTGGTCTTTTTTTAACATGAAGTTTCAGTTTTTGTAGAACTGATCAATTTTATTGGCAATTTTATTTATTTCAAAATGTTTCTGTGTACTTATAGTAAAACCCTAAAAATTTAGTCCTGAACAACGAGGCATTTCATGAAAAAATAGGAGAAAATAGGAGGCAGGCCAAAAAATAGGAAAAAACAGGAACTTGACATCCCGTAATTATCTTTACATAAACGCAACTGAAACGAGTGAAAAAACTTATCACTAAGATAAAATAATTATGAAAGTAAGCAAACCTGCTTTCACAAGTGTCTTTTGCCCTGCCAACAAATTGCTAGCTACCAAGGTACTATCCTCACTCCCCATACTGTCCTCAATGTCCTCAAGGCATTTAGAGGGGTAGACTAGGTGATACCAAAAGAAATATTAAATCACCATAGGTTTAGCCACATTTCAACTTGAGAATTTTTCATCCATGGTCCAGTAAGTAATTTGCAGTTCTTAATGATTATCACCTTCAAACCATGGTTTAAAAATTATTTCAACACCCTAAGTTAAAGATGACCATAAATACGAACATTCTAATTGCTGATATGAACAGGTATGATTTGATTTAGGATTTGATTTATTTAACAAAATAAAACAAAATAAGTTTTACTAGATAGTGTATTTCATAACTGTTTCATTGATGTATGGTTTATGGGGATTTATTTGCCTTGAGATCTTTATAAACTTTGTTGGAAATAAAAATAATTGTTTTTTAGCAATGATCTTGTCTAGGAAGCCAAGTTTTCTTAAAAAAATCTAACCAATTGAGTCTTTACGGTGTTGTCACACAACAGCTTGTTCGTGTCTGAGGCTGTTATAGTAATTGGTGATGTTTATCTTGCTTTATTCACCTTAAGATCCTTATAAACTTTGATGGAAGAAAAAACATGTTTTTTTACTAAAGATCATTTACTTTTCTATATGTTTAACTTCTAATATGTTGTACTGGGTTAAAGACCAACTCGCTGATGTCTCTACTTAACTTTATTCATCGCGAGTTGGCATTGGCCAGTTGAACCGTTGGCGACTTGACTGGATACCAAAATCATCCACTGACTACTAGGTCTATCACCCTCACCTGACTGAAGGTCTGCTTGTAAAATGGCAATCACGAACAAGAAGATGACTCTTTTTACAGCAGATCTCAGGACTTCAGGTGGGTCTTCAGGCCCCAGGGTGTTGTTAATAGCCAAGGTTACACCAATGTTCTCTTTTGGTCCATGTCTTTGTATCCATTTGAAGAGGCAGCCATTCAAATTAGCTGCTTTGATTCCTCTGTTTGACAGCATTCCCCGATTTGAAGATTTTATTTTCTTGTTCTTGTTGCAACAGGCATTCTTAAGACTTTTTTGCTTTGCATCGGTAGCAAAAGCAACTTTGATGTGTTGAGAAGGATCAAAAGTCTCAGGTCTAACACTGAAATCTTCCCTTGCCCGTTGCACATTAGGATCCTTACGGACCTGCTTCGTGAAAAAAGAGAATGAGTTGGGGAATTCATAACTTGCAAACTTGGACACACCACAACGAAAACTGATTTCCTTGTCCTTGTCCTTGTCCTTGTCTTTAACAAGTTTTCCTCTCTGGAAAGATATCTGCTCTGCTTCTCTAACATGATATAGGTGACCAAGCTTGCAATCAGAATCCTTACTACAGGTGGAGCCATAAAGAAATATAATACTGAAATGGTTGCAGTATTGGGCACCACATGCTCTGAAAAGAGCACTAACTGATGTGGGGTCTGTCCCTAGCCAAAAGATATGAAGAACTTTTTATTAAGGAACGCATGTGTCATCAGAGAAATGATTTCAGACTAGAATGATTTTAACATTGTGTTAGGGGGGAGGTGGAAAAGGAAATGTTGCCAGGGGGAGCCAAAAGTGAAAAAGGGAGGTGTCAGGAAAAACTGGGAAAGGATGAGGTTTTAGAATTGTTATTTTTTCATACTTTTTCAAGAACCTCCCCAAAAAACATACCCCTATTTTATTTTACCACACCCCATAAATAGAATCCCTTTTTCACAGTTGATTGAAAAAATAAACTAGTTGAAAAAATTCACCCAAATAAAAATGAAATTAATTAAAAAACATTTTTACCTACAACACATACATTTACTTACCCTGAAAAAAAGTGAAGGAGACAGTTACATTTTGACCATCAGCCTTTACAACTCCAAGTGGAGGAGTGATCATTCCCCTTCCCTGAGGCTCCACTGTCAGTACATTGGGGTCCCTTTTCCTCACTTCCATTAAAAACAACGCATACGAATCTTGATCAGGAAAAATAATGCTGTAATCCACACCAAGACGAGTTTTGGCCATCTTCATACACTTGAAGTAGTCTTCCTGAATTGCTTTGCTTTTCACGAAAGCATTAAGGAACTCCTCCACAGACCTGTCCCTTCCATCCTTCTTCCAATAGTGTCCAATGTCTTCCAGTTTCAAGGACAGCGTCCCTTTTTTACCCACAAGATGTTGAAGAGGAACAAGAACAATTGGAGACCCATCATCCAAACTCAGCAGAGTGTACTCTTGTTGAAGTTTTCCTTCACTGTAATACTTAGCAAGCTTTGTCATTAAGTGAGGTTGGATTTTACATTTTGTTTTCTTGCATGCCTCTAAAATGATCTGCTGTGAAGATTTCTTGACAGTTTTCATCCTAGAATGAGGCTCGTTCCCTTTAGATGTTAGATGCTTTCCGAGTTCCTCTACTTTCCGTTGAGTATAGTTTAGAAGGTAGGGGAGCGTCCAGAATAAGAGAAAATCTGAAATCTTGTTGTGCCCAATTTTTCCTCTCAAGTTAAGGGAATCTTTCTTCTTGCGCCTCAATTTTTTGTTCGCAAATATTTTCAATATGGAGAAGTGTAAAATTCGTGATCCCTTTTGAGGAATACAGAGCCCACTATTTGCTGGATAAACTGTGTCATCATGAATTGATTGGGTGTCAACATCCATAGGCTCAGCTATTTCCTCTTCTTGGCCAGCAATACTTTCTTCTCCATTTAAAAATCTCATATTCAATTCCTGTAACCAATACTCAGCATCTTCCTTGCTGATGGCTATCCTGCCTTCTTTATTGACTGCCTTTGTACCATATCCCATGTGGAAACATGTTAGTTCTGGAACTTGGAATAGAAGAGAGTCCTGGCACTCCAAAATGTCCTTTGTCACCAGGCCAAGGACCTTCTTAGGACTTCTTTCAAGAAACCCTCCATACTTCAGCTCAGAGTCATTCAAGAGTGTGTTAGGTGACATAAAAATCAGATTTTCAGAACCATCTCTATCAAAACAATACAGTGGTTGCAGACCAAGTCTTTTCAGTTCTTCACCATCTACACCAGTTAAGTTTGTTAATGATGTCATCGTTTTATTCAAGCCCAAATAAGAACCATGTTTTTCTCAAATAGCAAACTAACCATGGATTGCAGTGACGTTAACCTAATTTAAAAACAAACAAAAAAACAATAATTAACACAAGCAATTCACCTCCTTTTCCTCAAGAAAGCCACCTACAGATAAAAGAGCCACTAACACTATTCAACTTTGATATTCATGCCAGTAATTTTGTTAAATTTTTATAATCATTGATTATTATTGGTAAATTTTTAATTGGTCTCTAGAAGAATTACTTGAGCCAACCAAAACAAAACACTGACAGGCTTACAATTTGACCAAATCAGTAAGATTAGCTGAGTTCTGATTTTCTTAAAAATTAACAAATTGACAGTGGCTTAGAAGGGTCTGTACTCTTACCAACCACAATATTTGTTATCACAGTGGCCCAAATGTTGTGGACTCTTAAGGCACAAGTGAGTGAGTCCACAGCAAATTTGGACCACAGTGATGACAAATATTGTTGTCAATAAGAGTACAGACCTCGCTTATCCACTGTCAATTTATTTTTACCACAATAATGATGTCAATTGAAACAATTTTTTTTAGTGCATAACATGTTGTGTGACAAGTTGACTTTGGCAGCCTTGTCTCCACTCTTAGCAATGGCTAATTGGCCAATCAGATTGCAACACTGCTACCCATTTTGGTGAAATAAATGATACCCAGCTGTCTAGATAAAATATGGGAAAAGCATTGCCAGTAGTTTTCAAGGACTGATCAAGAGCCTCTTATTTTTGGCTTTCAGAGAAAATTTTGAAGTTCTGGACTTCTACAGTTGCATTTTTTTCCTCAATTGATGTTGCTTTGTTCTTTCTCCCAGTCAACCAATTTAAATAATGTAAAGAGAATTAGTTAGTTATGTTGTGGTAGTGATCTTCATTGAGGATACAAGTGGTTTACTAGTTGTCTGAAGGGTCCTCAATCAATGAAACTTATCTATGACAAGCATCTGGTAGAGATTCAAGTCTTATAAAAATTGAAAATAATAAAAAAAAAACAGACAAAAGTGGAAGCATTATTCATAAATGACAACATCACTCTTCAGTGGAAAGCAAATTAAAATACTATTTCATCTCTAATAGCCTCTGAACAAAGACATTTTGCTGTCCCCATTCTTTGAACAAGTGAAAATAGATTGAACAAAAAGAAAAGTATCATATTTCATAGCATAACAACATGGGCTCCCTCTTTGATTGTTGCCTATCTGGACTTTGCCCTTTGTAAATGAAATATGTGACAAAATGCAGGTTGTTAACAAGGAATTGAGGTAACAAATTTTAATGGTAGAAAACATCTAAGCCCTTGAGGATTGTGTGGAAAAATTGACTGATAGTAGCATTATGTTCCTTAAGAAATTGTTTTCAGTGAGGTAGGATTATGTCAAAATCTGCATTGTATACTAGAAAATGGTTTCATCTAAGAAAGTCTAGTCTACAGTGGAGAGTAAAATGTATACACATAGTTGTAACAGGAAAGTACTGTTTAAAAACAATATTTAACTCATGGGGAACTTTAAGAAGCAAAAAACAGATAATGTGGAAGACTTAATAAAGGTGGGAATGTATTTTCACTTAGTTACAAAAACTGACAATTAAGATGGCTTGAATTAATTTTCGCGCAACTCACCTCCTGTTGTTTTGCAAGATATAAAATGCAGTGATAGCCAATTACAGTATCTTTGTCAGTCATCATTAGCCAGACTGAGTATAATTTGGTCTCTAAGTAAGAAGACGATTATAAAGATCATTACTTTCTTACCTTAGTGGCAACATTCTATGATTATGCATGGGTGTGTATGTTGCATGTTTACATTAATTTTTCCGTTTGAACCACAACAGAGAGATAAGGCAGTCACGCTGGAATGAATTTTCGCTCAGTTTTTCCTCCTGCGAAATAAGCTAAAATAAATTCTACGCTTTTAAAAAGGATTCCACAGTACTTAACATATCTGTTGAGACAGAAGGTAAATTGAACTTGATGGTCTTTTCAACCTTTGCAAAAAAGAGCAACCACAAAATTGAAAGCAAAAACAAGATTAGCAACAGGATTTAAGCAAATGCTTTGCACAAGCTTTATTTGAGTCAGCAAAAGTAGCCCTTCCAATACAACAACAAAACATAAATTTGTGTTAGGCCTTTAGCTGAAAGTATGTGCATTGTAAATGAAGGAGCGGTACACAAAACACGTTTAAACTTTAAAATGGTGGAAAAATTCCCTGATGACCTTGCTAATCCCAACAGATCATAGCAAAAAAGTCTCCATGAAGGACACGAACCATTACACTGGGTAGACGAGCTCACAATTCTTGTTCATGTCATTCTTGGTGTGTGTCAATGTTGGGTTGATTCCACTGCAACATATCCTGGTACCCTAATTTCATGACATAATTGTCATAAGGAACAGCATTTTGATTGGTGCTAGCATACGCCAATGCTGTGATCTGATTGGTACGTGATACATACACAAATGCAGCAATCTGATTGGTTTGTGATACATGAAAAATGCGACATACAACTGTTTATCCTGACTTAATTATTAAATAAACAAAACAGAACAAAACAAAACTCAAACTTGATAGGTCACCCTTCTTGTTTAAGAAATAAAATGGGTCAATCATACCCCATTTATGCCTGAGTTGGAGTGAATCACTCACATCATTTTATTGGTACAAGGTACATCTCATGGTAGCTAGAAGAGTTTTTAAAACAAAACTTGAAAAAATTATTGATAGGTAGAAAGTCTTCAGCATAGAGAACAATTTCATATAATTATAATTTGTGGGAAATCATGCAATTTCAAACGACATAGACTCAGAACATTCCTCGAGCTACTGCTTTCAATATCATATTTTGCATCTTTCAGAATGGATATATTTTTTCCCTCTGATATTTAACACTGGCCCTACATCAATCAGACAGAGTAGAATCTGACACAGTGGGAAATTAGCAATAAACAATCTTGCAAGAGCCAGAAAAAAAAAATGCACAATGGGAAATGAGCCTGAGAGGAGTCAGACACTCAGCCTGCAGCTGACAAGAGCCAGACAAGAAAAATTGCCCAGAACAGGAAAACAAGCTAGCCATTAGCCTTATTAGACAAAATAAATCAGTGATGTAGTAAGCTTCAGCAGACAATTTTTTTGAGCAGCTCTTGTCCTGTGAATCGTGATCAGGCTGCAATCAGGCTATCTTCAGGCTCCAAATTTTCATATTGATCATCTCATTTCTCTCACGTCACAACTCATTTCTCTCGAGAATCACTAAAGCATTAAGTATAGAATACATTACTAGCAAGAAACAGCTGTGCATATCACATACCTACTACGCTTCATGTAGGTATGTGATATTCTCAACCACAGGTTAGGAAGGAAGGGACCTAGAGGTTGCAAATGGAAGAAAATAGAATAAAAGGAAAAAAAAAAACAACACTGATTTAACACATTTCCATGAACTTCAAATACAAACATCTATCCTCTGTCTAATTTCATGAAAGTTCTAAGCTTCCTGGTATTCTGGCATGTTTTTCAATTTCAGAACAAGGCACGTAACAAATCATAAACATTAAATTTAACTGTCGACATGCTGTTGTTTGTTAAGAGAACCATAGACTACAACCTTTGGAACTGAGACTTTGTTTCAGAATTGTATGGGTTTTATAGTGATCCTTCCATAAATTGTGCCGAATAATCTATACACATGATAGAAATCAAAATTCGATAGTCCCCCCTACCCCCCCCGAACTGAATAGCAGCACATGGAAGATGGAAGTACGGAATAATGGAAGAACGCCGTGGCGATAGGTCTAGACGATTACTGAGCCCATATTCGCGCGGAAAGGAATACATTAGCCGTTCCAAACTTATTCACTACCACCAGACTTTTATTTAGAGACGTTCGTCTGGTTTGCATCTGTGCACTGATCATCGCTCGCCAGCAGATGGCGATGGCAAGAGGGCGATGCCACTTAAATCATTGACCGTTGTTTCTAGTATACTTACAAGGCAACCTTACCTATGGAACACAGCATAAATGGCGAATAACACCCCATTCATAAGAACTGTGGAACTGTTCCAGACATATCCGCTGAGTTTGATTTAGGCGGGAAATTAGTTAGCTCCAGTGGTACGGCTGGGATGCTTGCCATAATTTATTGATTATGTGCAAATGAAATTCTGTAACGAATACCGTTCATTTATGTGATTGCGTGACCGTCAATACGCCTTATTCATAAATGGCGCACGCGCGGTTAAGACCTGAGGCGAGTTCACCAAAACGAGGCTTAGGAGACATCGCTTCATCTAATGACACTTAGCTTGTTCGAAGGTTTGTGGAATTATCGACTGTTTTCGCTGTAGTTTAATAAAAATGGCGAAATTTAATTGAGGATCCGTTGATGTAACGTAGTTTGACGTTGGCGAATGTTTTGTTATAAATATGACGGAGAGTTTTGCAGTTAATTTTAGTCAAGACGATACTCCTGGAGTGTCTTCAGAGGGAAGAAACCCAGGAGAGCTTAACAACGATGCCCTGAGGTTTTGGCAAAAATGTAGGGGAGATAAATGCAAAGGGCTGAAAACAAAGGCTCAGCTACTAAAACGGTAGGTTTAAATGTAACGATCGATAGCCAAATATAAGTAGTAATCTAAACGTCTTATGTTGAGCGAGTTAAATATAGTCTGGTTTCGTTATCTGAGTAAAATACACTCGAATTCGAAAATTGAGCGAAAATACCGTTTTACAGCATCATCTGATATCCCACAGACAACGCAGTCATGATAAATTTGCTCAAGAAATCATGTGCCGAAAAGACATTCCATTCTAGACACAGCTCATGGGATTAAATATGAGCCAGTAGCAATTGACTGGTATCACAAATACATGCACAGTCAAAAAAACACCAGTACATGTTTTCAAAAGTGGATTTATTGTATGCACTAAATCTCCAATACTGGGATGTTCTACGGAAGGAAAGGTAATAGACCCCAGTTGGGAAGATCCCATTGGACTACTTGAAGTCTAGTGCCCAGAAACAAAGTTTCAAGTGAGTCCCCTAGATGCTTGCTCAGACCCTAAGTTCTTTTGTGAGAGGGTTACTATGCCTAAGTTCAGTGCCAAATGGGCTGTACTGGTGCACAATGGTCTGATTTTGTTGTTTACACTAACAAAGGAATGTCAATTGAGAGAATTGCCTTTGACAGAGGTTACTGGGTTGAGCTTCAGGAGAAGCTTTGGCAATATTATTTTACAAATTTCATTAAGTATGCTGTAGCTGAATTTTCACCATCATGTACAAAAGCTGTGGTGGTGTGACATTCTACAACAGGATCATAATCAAACATTTAATGCATATAATCTCAGAATGATTTGATAAATATCCCAAGGGGTAAATCCAATAGATTTGAAGCTCAAAGACTGTAAAATTGTAAGTCTGTATCAAAATTACTAACCACTCATTAGTTTTTGCTTTTACAGGACTGGTCAAAAGGCATACTTGAGTGGGTTATTACTTTTTCGATCCTTCAAAAAGGTGTGGGCTGTGTAATTTTTCACTACACATAAGGGCTGGGTCATCTTCTTTTCCCATGTAGAGGGGGAGTTAATCTAATTTCTGACCTCTATTTTAGGGTCAGTCAGTTTTTTTATTCCAAAGGTAAGGGGTTAGGTCATGTGCTCAGGTCCTCACCCTGTAATTTTTGGCCACTCCTTTACAGGTATCATAATCATTTCAGTGATGTGTATTTCACTGAAAGAAAATAAAAAGATCCAAGACCTAGATAGTAAACATTACTACAACACACCCTTCTTTAGCCAAAACATTGAACAAGATAAAAATTACAAATCAGTTGTCTAAAGCTTTCTATTGTGTCAGCTTGTTAAAATAGGGTCTTGAATGTTGCAAAGAAATGCACAAACTGACCACATTTGATTTGAAATGCCGAAGAGATTCAGTGAGATAATGCTATCCCATATATGGAAAACTTTAATTTTATTAATTGCACGTTCTACATGGATCCTCAATCCTGCAATCTCCTGAGTTCTCACAACATCCTCCAAGGGCATTTGTGTGGATGTTCCCAAGAATGGTGGAATATTCAAAGAAACACCTTAAGGTAAAATGTCACTTATAATAAAACCTTTATCTGCCATCATGGAATCTCCTTCATTGAATGGCAGGTCAAGCATACCTGACCTTTCTACAATTTCTCTGTCTCATATACTTCCTGTATACAGTTGGTTTATGTAAGTGATAGCACCAGATGGAGAAATTCCCACAAGCCCCTTTAGTGTAGTAGGATTCTTGTAGGCACTGAACAACTCACTATTCAGCAACAAGCGACTAGGCATTGCACACTTCACTTCCGTACAATCAATAATAACTCTTGTACTTGGATATGACTTCCTGAAGTCTTCAGGCATTGTTCTGTTGACAACTCCTCTGGATGGCCAAATGTTAAGCACTCCAAATCGACGATACATAAAATTGATCCAACTAATAACAATTCTACTAACAGTTGCCTGATAAACATTAAACAGGTGGGAAAGGTGGGTTTCAGCAAATCCGTGTCTAAAGCGACACGAAGTGAGAAAAAGTTCTTCTTGTGGTTTGATTGATCTTGGTCTACCTCTCTTTACACCTAACTGTGGTGGAGACCTAGTGTTTCTGAGGGTATCTCCTTTTCACCTGACAACCAGTATCTGACATTTTCTCCATTATTTCCAGGATCTAAATATTCAAAGGATGCCAAGAATGCTTTTTAGTAAGGAAAGCCTGTAATAAAACAACATTGCCTCATCAGAGGTAAACCGACTAAGTGAGAAGACGTTTGACTGAAGTGCTTTATTTTTGTCTTCCAAATCTGCAACTATCCTTTCGAGATTTGCGCATTTTTTTTTCAAGTAGCCTTAATTGTTTGAGGGTCCCATAAAGATCTTTTTCAGTGGAAGGCATTTCAGTAAGACTGGCACTGGCGGCTCCTGTACTAACGAAACCAATCTTTTCCGGCTTCAGGTGTTTTGCCAGGCTCCGAACACACTGAAGAGGACTCTTTTTCTGGGACAGATCTCTTCTCTTTTCGCTGTCATAGATAAGGCCTCTCGGTAGGGGGCGGTCACTTTCGTGGTGAAGTTTGTTTCCAAGCAAATATCGACGGAACTGCATTTGTCCTCAGAGACGTTCGTCCACGAAGACCCTTTGATATGCCACTAAGCTTGAAATGTAACGAACACACTTTTGATGCCCCGGAGATGCGAAAAAATCTACCAACATCTCTACGTATAGTATGTATCCGACATTTCTTCATTTCCTCTCCGTCTGGAAACTTATAGAATCCAATTTGTTCTCCTTTTGATCCCACACCCCTTCCGTGCGTGCACAAT